CAGGAGGTTCCATGTGAATGTCAGGAAGAACTTCTTTCCTGTGAGAGTGCCAGAGCCCTGGGCCAGGCTGCCCAGAGAGGCTGTGGAGTCTCCTTCTCTGGAGACATTCCAACCCCCCTGGCCACATTCCTGTGTGATGTGCTCTGGGTGCCCCTGCTCTGGCAGGGGGGGTTGGGCTGGATGATCTTTCCAAGTCCCTCCCAAACCCTAAGACTGTGTTTCTGTGACACAGTATTCCTGAGGCTCCCTCCTCAGTCCCCATGGAGAACACCTGCACTCACTTGAGCAGGCAGGGGTTGGCAGCGCCGCGCTGCAGGACGCCCCGGATGTGCTTCTCGAAGGAGTGTTGGGACTCGGCCAGGATCCGCAGGGGGGACACACCCACGTCTGGGTCTTCTCTGGTGCACAGCAGGGGAGGGGATGCAGGATGGACTGTGCTCCTACCATAGAACATCAAACCAGAGAACACATTTGAACCAGAAACATTAAAACTCCGTCAGTTTAAATGGCAGCTCCAGGGAGGAACTCCTCTGCTGTGGAAGTGGGGTGTTCCAGCAGTAAAGCCACATGCGTCCCCAGAGAAAACACTTCTGTGGCAAATCCAGCTCTAGACAAGGTTGGTGGAGCTGAAATCTCATATTTTCTGTTTGGCCATGGTTGAAACTAACCAGAAGCATGAATTGCCTTTTACCAAAGGAGCAGAAGGAAAGTGCCTGACCAGCAGCAGGACCTGCTTTTCTAAGCAGCCTTAGTTATTAATGTTATTAATACTGTTAAGCCTATTATTGTTATAATATATATATATATATTATAAAAAATAACAGACACTATTACTACCTCTGCTGGAGGTACCTGTCATACATGAGTGTTCTTGGCAATAAATAAACTGAAACTAGTGCTCTCCCCTCAAGGTGTTCACTTAACTGTGCAAATGCAGATCTACCCCACCACCCCAGAGCTCCTTAAAAATGCACCCCAACATCCCACTACTCCAAAGGAATTTAAGACTCCCCTTTTTCCCTTTCATGCCAGTGTAACTTTGGTGCCCATTAAGAACCTCTACACTACTGTCTGTAAACTAATTTCATTTGCAGACTCCTCATTATAACAATTAATTAAAAACCTCACCAATAAGGTCAAGCAGCTCCTGATGCAACTCTTGCCCTAATACTCATTAAAAGTGATATAGATTAATTATATCTCCTACAAACACCTTCTAAGTAGTATATAACTACTGTAAAGAACACTGAAGTGCTCAGCCAGGAGGCAAACTTCATTGTGTGTCATAAGAGGCACAGAAGTCTAGGGTGAAAGGATCAAAAGAACAATGATAAAAAAATATATCCAAAGATCCTTTTCCTTCAACAGTCACAGATGTCAAACCAGTTCAGAGCCACGTACAAGAGAGGCCTTGTAATGCACTCATAGGTGTTTGTGATGCAGATCATGGTGGGCCCCAGGATGTCAGAAACAATCCAAAATCCTCTGATGGGAGCAGGTTGTCTGAAGGGGGAAGAAAACACAAAAATTGTCCAGTCAAAAACATTCAAAAAAAAGCTGCTGTGCCCCAGGAAATGTGACCCAGTGCTCAGCTGAGGCACAGACCTCAGGAGAAATCTCGAGTGCTCTGTGTGTCACCAGCTGGGCCAAATGTCCTCTCCCTGGGTCACTGCTGCCCCCACCTGTGCTAGCTGAGATGACCAACACCCATTTCTTAACTCTTTTGGGGGGTATTATTATGCTGAATACATACAGAAAGTATTAGGCCTCATAAAAGTTAGGACAATTAAGCAGACAAATATTACACAGCCCAGCAACTGATGCCTCCTAAGCCTCACTAGGGTACCCCAGGATCCCACCCCCCAAAAAAATCCAATGTTCTTTGAAGGCTTTGCTTGATCCTTAACAAGTGGATAAAAGGAACAGGTCAGCATTCCAGAGTGTTCACCAAATCAAGCCTCAGAGGTGTCCAGGGTCAGGTAAAGGGAAGTGAAAACCTGGTAGATGATTTTCAGGCAGTACCATGGGAATGTAGCTAACTTCCCTACCTCTGCATTAAGAATCCTAGTGCACAGCTTGTTTATTTGTATTGTTTGAATTCTGTTAAGCTGACATCATTATTTTTTAATGCTGAGAATGCAGCAGCAGAAGAGAAATCACACACCTTTTCCATAGCAACTCACTGATTTGGAAGCAAAAGGAAGGGTTTGGTTTTTACCTGCATGGCAATGGTTTTGTACAAAGAATATGTTCAACAAAGCACTTCTGCTCTGCTCCCAACTCCTGTAAACTGTCTTTGTCTTCTTCATCTACCAAGAGATTTGTCACAAGGCATCAGATCCACTTTGCAGGGTAAGGGATACTCACCACTACCCCCACCCACCAACCTGGTACTAGTGATCTCTTCCCTCACCTGAACCCAGGAACTTGTGCAGTTTGTTGATCCAGGGCAGCCCCACACTGTGGACACCAGCTTCGTGTGTGCAGTGGTAACGAGAGGGACATTTTGGATCTGAAATTCAAACAGCAAATGTAGGAGAAAGCCCTAAGAGAGAAAAACTCATCCTCCAAACCTGCAGTGTTGGGGTATCAAACTGTCCTCCAGTCAGCATTAAAATCCCTTTCAAGTTCTAACCAGTCCCTACCTAAAATTTCAGCTGGATGCATTAGTAGAGTTCTACACAGAAACAAATTACTCTTGAAATACCTGATTAATTGTTTTCACCTGTTCCTCTCACACCACATCTGCATTAATCCACTAGATTTTAAAGAGAAGAACAGTTCATGCCAGAAGACCCCAGACACTTTGTCCCACCCCCACCTCCTGCCCCCCAACTTCACTGGATGGTCTCATCAGCAGATGTCAGTTCTTCCCTCAAGACCATCCTCACAGACCTGCTTACATACCCAGGACATCACAAATGCAACAACTTCACTTCATAATCCACAGCTGAAATAATTTAATGCTATCTGACCACATGTACCCTGCCCTTGAGTAAACACAGGGGGACATCCCAGGCTTCCCCATTCCACAGCTTTCATGAAGACATCAGGCAAATCCTTATTCTAATCCCACTCTGACCCCAGTGGTGATTTGGAAATATCTCAGTCCTAAATGATGGAACTATAGAAAGGAAAAGACAACATCCTGAAGGAAGCCCTACCTCGATGGAGCCTGATTGGGCAAGAGAAATCAGACTCCCAGGGCTCCTCCTCCTCTCCTGAGGCCAATTTCAGTGCGAGTTCCAGCTCAACACATTCAAACACATACAGGGAGGGAATCAGGTCAGATCTGGGGTCCCATGACTTTTCTGACTGAAAAGAACATGGAATTCTTCTGTCAGATGTAATCCAAACATCAGTGCCAACATGAACAACACCAACAGTTACATAATGTAGGCAGGACTATTAATTGTCAAGGAAATTAGTTCAGGTCCCTTCATTATTATTATTTTTTTTTTACTTAAAAAGTCATCTCAGAAACAAGGTGTCTTCCTAGAAGATCCTCTTTAAAATAGTTCACAGGAAGTTGGATCAGCACCAGATCTACTGTCAAGATCCAGAGAATGGACACACAGAATCACCAGGGAATCACAGGGCTGGCTGGCTGGAACAGGAGAAAGGCTCACTCCCTCCTTGTAAAACACAGCAGCTTTGGTACCTGGTGTTCACTTCCAGGCATCCTACCACCCTTGCAGCCAGGATCTCTCACTGAAGAAACAAAAATAGAAAAAAAGAAACAAACAAAAAAAGCCCCCAAATCCCAAGAAAAGGTACCTGCTCATCATCCTCTTCTCCATCCAGCACCACACAGTGATACAGCATTCCCGACTCGGTGGCAATCACCAGGATGTTTGGAACACAAGGCAGGCACAGGACAGCACAGGCATCATAGCCATAGTTGTCTTCTGCAGCAGGGTGCATGGGCAGGGGGCCAAGCAGCTTATCAAGATTTCCAGTGCTGGAATAAAGAAGATGATGTGTTCACAACCTGAGGTGTGGAAGGAGAGATCCCCACAGCTGTCTGGTGGACACTCCAAAAAATAAAAAGGACCTTTAGAATAAACTACCCAAATTCCAGAGGTTTGGAGCTGTATTTAATTCCCCTTAGAGAGCAGCACCCCAGAGTTGTGCAGATGAGGAGACTGCACTGCACCTCCTTGCTGGAGGTCTCAGAGAAGAAACTGGAGCTCAGGAATAACATTTTGTGCTCTGAAAGCAAATTCAGGAGGAAACACTTTCATACAAGAACACAAAGTACTCACAGGAAGCTCAAGTTTATTAACTTTATTCCCTGTTTTTCTGCTTAATAAAGCACTTTAGGAGCAGCATTTTATCGCCTGGTGTTTCTCTAGGTGGAACTTCTCAAGGCCTGAGCCCATTTCATTGCCCCCAGACAGGACCTGCTCAGTGCTGCATCATTTCCCACACAGAGGCAAACAGTGCTTTTTCTAACCAAAATACCTCTAACTCCTAAGTTTTCTACCATCTTTTCAGTTTTCTCAAGTGATTTTTGTTGATACTCTTTAATTAATATTCTTGACCTTTGCTTATGGAACATGCCTGGAAATCTTCTATGACCTTAAAACACTTATTTTCCAAAGATGCCTCTTTCAGCCTTACCCAAAGCTGAGAATCTCTGTACTGTGACCTGAAGGCCCCAAAACACACCTGACAGCCTCAGATCCCAATCTTTTAACAGCCCAGTGTCTTCATTTCCAATTTTTGACTGTAAACAACAGTGGATTCTCAGCAGTAAGAACTGCACCCTTAACATCTGGATAAAAAAGGATCACAGAATTGTCCTGGTAGGAAAAGAGCTTGAAAATCAAGTCCAACCATTAACCAAACTCTCCCAAGTCCAGTGCTTAAACCACGTCCCTCAGCACCACATCTGCACATCTTTTAAACACTTCCAGGGATGTTGATCCAACCACCTCCCTGAGCAACCTGTCCCCGTGTTTAGTAACCCTTTCAGTGAAGAAGTTTATTCCAGTATCTCATCTAAACCTCCCTGGCACAACTTGAGACCATTTCCTCCTGTCCTGACACCCTATTCTTGGATTTGAGCCTATCAGCACTGCCACAAAGACAGAAAACAGGCTGCAATACAATAAAACTCAGCCCTGTCTCCCTGGCAGAGGCCCAGAACTGTCTCTCCAGTCCTCACCTTGTCCAAACACAAGCCCCTCATGAAACCTGAGGATGGTGTGACCCCACCTGTGCAGCAGGCTGGTGTAGGTGAGGAATGTCTCTCCGTTTTCATACAGGATGTACAGTGGGTAGGCCAGCACCTCCTCGCTCCCTCGCTGTCCCGCCGCGCTCCTGGGGACGGACACCAGGGGGCCAAAATCAAAGGCCACGGCTGTTTCTCCCAGGGATGCTGTGTAGGCTCTCCTGGGAACAAGGGGAACAAGGCCTGAAGTCAGCAACGACTGGGAGAGCACAAGTGTTCAACTTGGTCCATCAGCATGTGTTGAGAGATACCTGCTGAGCACCTGCCCACTAGTCCTTTGACAGATGCTGTTCTCACAGAATCACAGGACGGTGGGGTTGGAAGGGATCTCTGGGGATCATCCAGCCCAGCCCCCCTGCCACAGCAGGATCCCTAGAGCAGATCCCACAGGAACACATCCTGTTTGGAACATCTCCAGGGATGGAGATTCCACAACCTCCTTGGGCAGCCTGTCCCAGTGCTCTGTTACCTCAGAGTAAAGAAGTATTTTCTGATATGCAGGTCAAACCTCCTGTGCCCCAGGTTGTGCCCATTGCCCCTTGTCCTGTCACTGGGCACCCCTGAGCAGAGTCTGGTCCCATTCTGCTGACACCCCCTGTAGATATTGATCAGCACTGATGAGGTCCGCCCTCAGCCTCTTTTCCTCTAAGCTGAACAGCCCCAGCTCTCCCAGCCTTTCCTCACAGGCAGATGCTCCAGCCCCTCATCATCTCAGTGCCCTGTGCTGGACTCTCTCCAGTAGCTCCTTGTCCTTCTTGAGCTGGGGAGCCCAGAACTGCACACAGGGCTCCAGGTGAGGCCTCCCCAGGGCAGAGAAGAGGGGCAGCAGAACCTCCCTGACAAACACTTGACTATACAGTTCATGACCCCTTTTGACCAGAAGGATGGAGGAAAATAAATAAATAAATAAAAAAGTGCAGCTACTGTGATAGGAGAAAGTCCTAACACTAAAGAAGCTCATGAAACAAAAATCACATCAGATTTTCAGGTAGATTTAGAATCACAGAATCATTTGTGTGGGAAAAGACCTTTAAGATCATCAAGTTCTTTCAGATCTTCAGGTCCATTTATCACTATTCATTAAAAACACAACTAAGAATGCAGAGCTGATTTTGTCAAAAGCATTTCAAAATACAAGAAGCCACACAAACCCTTTCTTGATTGTCAGAGTCTCCTCCTCTGTGTCTGAAAGAGCAATCACTTTGGTGGGAGTCTGAGGCACCTTCAGGCTGTAAAACCTGGAGGAAAGAGACAGCAGCAGTGTTAATCCAGCTGGAAATGTGCCACATGTCCCTGCTGATGCAGGAACACCAGCTGATACCAGTCTGAAAGTTCTCCCATTCTACTTTTTATTGGTAAGTCAGGTAGGAATAGCAGGACAGAAATGTCTGGAGAAAAATCAGACTGGCTATGACAACAAAAACACTTAAGAATCAACTACAAAGAGGTTTTACCTTATAGTATTATCTGAAGTCAAGAGCACAATGTGGGGCTCTACTGTCTCACAGGGGTACCAGGCAGCATGCTTCAGAGTCAGAGATGTTGAGCTGGTGAAGAACCTTTCTGCAACAGGAATAGTGCTGAAAGACAGAGCAGAAACACACAGAAGTTAATGCTAAAGGGAAGTGAGGGCAAGAGGAACTAGAAACCAAATTCAGAGGTTTTGAAGCCGTATTCTTCAAACTGGAGGGATATCTTTAGCTTGAAGCCCTTTGTTAGTTCCACCTGGACATGAGCTTTTAGCTACCACAGCTAAAAGACCCCAGGAAGGGTAGAGAACACCACCTTGCTCCTCAGCATTTCAATAAGTTCAGGTCATTTATTTGGGTCACTTGGCAATCAGCAAAAACACCTTCCATTGGGATTATCCGTACAAGTTCAATACAGCCAGTACCTTCCCTATCTGTTTGACCCCAAGAGAGGAGAAGATGTGGAGGAAGGACAGCAAGGCAAGGGTGGCATTAACCAGCTGAGGTCTCACCTACCTGCAGTTCACCGTGGATTTCCCACCTTCAAACTCAGCATTCTTCCCCCAGCGCTTGGGCAGCTCCAGCACCATGAGCCCCTTGGTGCCGACCAGGGCCACATGATGCTGGGTGGGGCTCAGCAGCGTCTGGTAGACCTCAAATAGGGGTGGGTTTATGCAGATGAGGGTCTGAAAACACAAATGTTATGGTTAAGCTCTCAGAAGTATGACACCTTTACTTTGGGTGGTGGAGGGGAGATGTAGGTTGGACATGAGGAGGAAATTCCTCAGTGTGAGGGTGGTGAGAGCCTGGCCCAGGTTGCCCAGGGAAGCTGTGGCTGCCCCATCCCTGGCAGTGTTGAAGGGCAGGTTGGATGGGGCTTGGAGCAACCTGGGCTGGTGGGAGGTGTCCCTGCCCATGCAGGGGGGTTGGAACTGGGTGATCTTTAAGGTCCCTTCCAACCCAAACCACTCTGTGATGATTCTACGATTTCCGCAACACCTACGAGCTGCAGAATGAGGCAAAAACTTGCTCCAAGCCCAAGCCAAGCACAACCCAGACAAATTCCTCTGAGGAAAATCCCACCGAGACCGGTCTGGGGGGTGTGTGTGTGTGTAGCAGTGACCACCCAACGGGGCCCTTCAGGGCCCATATTTCCCTCAGCCCCAACCACCAGCACCGTCATGACTGCCTGACCTCCCATGCTCCCTCATAAACCCCCGAGGCCCTCTCGTAACCCCACAGGGCCCTCTCACAACTCCCCGACCCCCTCATAACCCCCCATGTCCCCTCATAAGCCCTTGGGGCCCCCTCATAACCTCACAGGGCCCTCTCATAACCCCCCGACCCCCTCATAACTCCCCTGCTCCCTCATAACCCTCCATGTCCCCTCATAACTCCCGGGGGCCCCTCAGGGCCCAGATTTCCCTCAGCCCCTCCTCATAACCCCCCAACACCCCCCCATAACCCCCCGGGCCCCTCAGAC